GTTTTTTTAAATCGGATTTCCCTATATACGAGGGGGGTTCAAATGTAAAAAATGCATGTAGAAAGTAGAACTTTTTCAACTTTACTTTTGAAAATGTTCCGGAAAGTCTGACACTTTTATATATATCTTAAATTAAAGCTAATGTAATATACTTTATCATAAAAAAAAAAAAATTTCGGACTTTATTTTATCTTCACTTTGAAAATGGCTACCAAATGCTATTTTTGTGTGAAAATTTTCGATTTTGTATTTTATATTTTTAACTTTATAATGCTATAACTTTTTGAAAGATGTATGGATTAATATAATTCTTTTTTTATAGATGCATAATGGATATCTTTACCTATCATTTGGTATATTTTTTTTATAAATCTGACTTTTTACCTGCCTACAGGGGGGGATTCAAAATGACAACTCTTTCACAAAAAATTTACTTTTTCAACTTAAATTTTGAAAGTGTTCCGGAAAGTCTGACATTTTTATATATATCCTTAATTAAAGCTAATGTAATGTACTTTATTATGTAAAAAAAAATTTCATATTTTATTTTGTCTTCACGGTGAAAATGGTTACCGAATGCTATTATTGTGTGAAAATTCTCGATTTTATTTTTTACATTTTTAACTTTAAAATGCTATAACTTATTGAAAAGTGTATGAATCAACACGATTTTTTTATGAGAAATAATATTTTTTAATAATCCCTTTTTCATTTGACATACTTTATCTTAATCAAGATATTAATAAGAAACTAGCAGATTATGTAGCTTTTGGAATAATCCACCAATTTTTTAAAATTAAACACTATCTAAAAATTTCCATCAAAGCGTTTTTTTTTTTATAGTTATTTTAATCACTGTCAGATATCATTTTATAAGATATTTTATAATAGACTATGTTATTTAATTTAATTTATTTTTTTTTTTTAATCCACTTATTGTCCGGGTGATTTTTTATAATCGATATCCTCACATAAGTGGTTGGCGACCCGACTTTTCTTATTGCCTGGGAGCCATGAAGGTGGCGACTTCATAATCCGATGCGTGTCAAATGACAGACTTATTGCCACACCATATATTTTTTCAAAATTTTGAAAAGACTTAAAATTTAAATGATTTGTTTCTAATTAAAATATTTCTTATACAAGGTGTTTTTATATCGTTAGCTACTCAATTTCTTTTAAAATAATAGTTATGTTAAGAAAGTTAATTTTTTATTTTTCAGCTATAGGGTCAAGTGGGGTAAATAGATATGAAATTTACATGTTTTACAACTTTTATTAGATTCATATAGTAATAATTTTTTTAAATTTTGGTTTAGATAAAAACTATTTAACTATATACAATATGTGTCTAACATATCAATCAAACGTTAAAATAGTTGATTATTTTAAAAGAAAAAAATAGTATAAAATTGCATAAAAAATTTACATTTGCCCCATACTTCTGGGGTAAATGAAAATAACTATTTCCAACAGCAAGTGTTATACTGAACAAACATAATGTGCAAATGAAATTTTTCTGTTAAAGCTATCATTATATTATTTCATATATTCGATATCTACAAATTTCCATTTGCTCCAAATAGTATATTGTGTATGGGGTAAATGAAAATTAAAGTACAGTTGATAATGTTATAAGCCTGAGGCAAATGAAAATTTTTTTGGATTGCATAAATTACAATTAAATTAGTCCAATAATTAGGTAACCTTTATTATTTTAAAATAATTTAGTACAGTTTAATGCTTACTTTCTATTTCATAAACTTTCAAAATATATTAACAGTATTTTGTTTTCATATAATAGTGATAATAATAATTTAACATAAAAAATAACAATGTCAAGTAAAAATTATAAACAAAATAACAAACTAACAGCGTTTTTAGTTTTAAAATATATCACATAAATTAATGAATGAATAAGTAGGTAACATAGTGCCTAAACTGATTATTATTCATTGACATTTATGTATCCAGGAAATGTGTATATAGTTTTTCTGTTCTTCTTATGTTCAGTTGGTATTGGTAATATTGCAAGAATCATCTCTACTGTAATATCTGACAAGTCATTTTCAACAATATAAAAATCAGTTCCAATTTCATTATTTTTTTTTAATCCTTGGACTAAAATATCCCCATCATCTTCATCTACACGTTTAACTAAACATACATACTTAAAATGTTGTTTCTTACGGTTCCCTCCAATAAAATCTATTAAAAGAAATACTCCAGGTTTTATTTGAGACCATAATTGTGAAGATAATTGGTCTATTATATAAAACTTCTTCAATACTTAAATCTAATGAATTGTCATTACAATCATCTTCTGATGAATGATAAACTACATCATCAATATTATCAATTGATTGTTCCAACACAATATTTTGTGCATCTTTATAGACTTCTTAGGTCTCCCACGTTTACTAGAATATTTGATTAGCTTTTTCTTTGAGGTTGCTTCTTCCAATTATTTTAACACATCTTTATTTGTTAAAACCTCACCATACATTGTTGCTCTAAGACGAGGAACTCGGTCTTTTGTAACACAATTTGTATTGTTAGTTTTATATTGTATTAATTGAATTGAAAAAATAGATATTATATCTTTTGGGCTTACTGATATATTATTACTTGATGTTGGAAAAATTTGGTCTATAAAAGTGTTTGACGTTGAAGGTTCTAATGAAATTTGATTTTCTACAACTGTCAATGTGTTTTTTTGATATAATTACGCACTCTGAAGTTGAAAAAAAATTATAAAGACCGTAATATTTCAAATTATATTTGTTATTAATATTTCCATTTACCCCGATTGATTTTTATTTTGTATTTTACAAAAAATATATAATTCCATAGAAAAAGTGATATTAAACTAGTTATAGGGCCGTATATTAAATAAGTAAATATGTAATGACAATTTAGTTCAAACTGTACTGTTCTACTTATATTTTTGATGAAGAAGCCCTTCTCTAAAGCTGTTGAGCAGAAAATATAATCTAAAATAATCATAAACACTATTTCGAGTGATAACAATTTGTACATATCCTCAAATTTTCCATATTTTTAACATTGCACACTATTGTACCTTATGTGTACTTTGGTTACAATGATACCGAATTCTATAATCACTAATAATTTATTTTAAATAATATTTTTTTTCCTTTTGCCCCAATTTCCATTTACCCCACTTGACCCTATATATTTCTTGACTTATTAGATGCTAATTATTTTTTTAAATCATTCATTATACCTTGTAAGAATATCAACTTTATTGTTAGCTTCGATATGAAACTGAAAAAGTATTAATTTTACCATGATGTGTTCATTATTTAAAATTTTTTTGTACTGACATTATTTTTTCTCAGATTCCATTAGACCAATTTTTCGATACGATAATTTTAACGATACGTTAAAAACTCACAAATCATACCCATAAAAAATATTACATTAAAGCATATTCTTCGTGATATAAATTTAAAAAGAGAATTGTCCAGATGACTTAGCTACTATGTGCAAATTGCCGCCTAAATTGATCAAAAAATGTAATTTTCGTGTAAAAAATCCCTTCAATCATGTTAGGATATAAAAAGGCCATAACTTTTTGAAAAATTAACGAACCAAAATCATTTTTTTTATGTAAATATCTTCCTAAGAATAATGTTCTAGCTACCAATGACTTATAAGAAACTACAATTTTAATATCATAGCTACAATAATAATTTCTCACAACTTTATATAAAAAGTCAAAGGTCAGAATAATCAAATTAAGAAAGTTTGCTTTCTTTTTTTAATGAAAATATACATATTTAACTTAGTTATAAAATAAAAATTCCAGCACAGGGGGGTCGTGGCACAGTGGTGACGTGACATATTTGGATCAAGTATAATGATATCTGACAGTGATTAAAATCACTATAAAAAAAAAGCTTCGATTCAAATCTTTAGATAGTGTTTAATTTTAAAAAATTGGTGGAATATTCCAAAAGCTACATGATCTGCTATTTTCTTATAAATATCCTGAATGAAAAAGGGATTATTAAAAAATATTATTTCTCATAAATAAATTGTGTTGATCCATACACTTTTTAATAAGTTATAACATTATAAAGTTAAAAATGTAAAAAAAATCAAGAATTTTCACACAAAAATAGCATTCGGTAGCCATTTTCACCGTGAAGACAAGTCTAGAAGTTAAATTTTTTTTTTTTTCATAATAAAGTATATTACGTTATCTTTAATTTAAGATATATATAAAAGTGTCAGTTTTTCCGGAACATTTTCAAAAGTAAAGTTGAAAAAGTTAATTTTTTGTGAAAAAGTTGTCATTTTAAATCCCTCCCTGTGGTCAGGTAAAGGGTTAAATTTATGAAAAAAATATACTAAATGATAGGTAAAGATATCAGCATTTATAACAAATTATATTGATATGTTCATTTTTGAAAAAGTTATGGCAGTTTTTAGTAAAAAAAATTGAAATAATTTTGAAAATTAGCGATTTTTAAATTTGATATTTTTTTATTTACGGGGAACGAGGGAATTTTTTTTCAATTTTTGAGGGTAATGTCTTCGACTAGATACAATTTGTGATCTTTTGACGTATCGTTGAAAGAAATCGGTTCGGTGAGAACTGAGAAAAAGTGGTAACAGACACAAAAAAAAAAAACACATCATAGTAAAATTAATATCTTCTCAGCTTCGCATCGTAGCTAAAATATAAAATAAGCAATATTATTAGGTGTCAGGGATATATTAAAAGTAATTAATAACTGATAAATATAGAGATAAGGAATACTAAAAAATATGCTTAGCATTATTTTTATTCTAAGAGAAATAGAGTGACTAGTGAACCTTTTTAGCCACTCCTATAACGCTTACTTAAACATATTTTATGTAAACAGAATTTAATTTTTATCAAATATCTAATAATTCAGTACATTTTATATTTTTTCTCTTTAATTTTATACCTCTGTTATGATAAAAATGGAGGGAACCAGAATAATTTTAATTTTAACGAACTTTAATTTGATTTATTTGAAATTTTAATGTTGGCAAACATTTATTAAATTTTAACAAAAATAATAAATTAAACAAATATTTTATGTATAATGATGTTAAAAAAGTAATTATTTGTTGTGAATTATTTATTGTTTGTTATTATCTTTCATGATATTACTGATTATCGTCATTTTCTTTATTGGAGGGTTTCTAAAAAACATAAAAATTTATTAAAATTTTAAATTATATTATAAATGTAAAAAAATATTTATGTTAAATTAGTTAGATAGAATTATAAAAAACAATTAATTATTTAGGTCTCCTTACATTACTAACTACATTTAAAATAGAAATATATCTTATAATAGTTCAAATAAATTTAGAAAGTTTATAGAGGGTGATTATATTAACGTAAATAACTAAATTATTCGGTACATTTTAATGGCATATTTTTTATTAGATAATGTTATACTTAAAGAAATAACTAGTTCATAATAACCTTTAGACTAATATTTCAGAAGTTATCAACATTTTTATACATAGGTAGGCGGAGGTAGTGAAGCAGATAAATGGCCAGTGACAAAAATTGCAACACCCACGCATCACTTCCAACCATTATTTTAAATTGTTAAAAACTTCTGAAATTTTGGCCCAAAAGTATTTTTTTGATTAATAATTTTAGTTTGATTAATTTCTAATAAATAAGCTAGTTAACTATGTATGTTTCTATTTACAAAAATAAAGTTGCCACCCTTATGCCCCTAAGGCATAATGGATGAACATAAAAAATACTTCATTATTCACAAATTGAGCAAAATATATAACTTAAAGAAACAAACAAACTTCTCAATACCGTTATAATACATACACCACTCATTATTCAGTAGTCTATGTGTTATTGTCTATGAGTCATCAAATTAAATATATATTATTCATGTTAATACTTTAAACTATTCCAAGAAATACGTCTAAAAATACATTGATATAAATCTACTGTAATAATTATAAGAAATTCTTTAGTTGGGACATATTATCTATTTTAAGTAAAATATGTAATAAATAACAAAAATCGAGTAATTAACAGATAATAGTAAAAGGTCGTGACACTTCTTGCATAGATAGATGAATTAAATTTAATAAAAAAGCGCATAAAAACTGTCAATCTCTCTCACTATTACTTCACTTTATGAACTTTCAACCTATGCAAGAAGTGGCTTAACAAAATACGATTTTACATAGAAAATTGAAGTATATTCATTTTTTCAACATTAGTCCTGATATCATTAAGGTAAATTCATATTCTACAAAAGATCCATAAGGTTTAAAGTTAAATATAATGAGTACATAAATTAAGTAGGAAACCAGAAAAAATAAAGTGATCTTTAGAATAAAATGTTGTCTAAATAAATAAAGAGAATCAATAACGTTTGTACGAAGTTAGCCAGCCTAGTCTAATCTTTTAGTGGTTTACATGTGTAGTCAATACTAATAAAGACTCTCTTGCGAAGATAGAGAACCCACTTGTGGTTCCTATACTACTCGAGGTATTTAATGACTTGACTCACAGTTAGCACAAGCCTAGATAACTACTGGTACGAGTGGCGTTGTGGATGATCTATGTGTGATAATTAATCACAATAATTTCTATTTCAAATTATTATTATATTGATAAATTTTCAAACATCACTTTGCTTTTCTATATTTTACATCTTCTCATAAACCCTCGTACTCATATCCCAAAAGAAAATTATATTATATAATTTTTTATTCAATGAATATTATAGTAACTCAATTATTCTTATGCTCATACAATACCAACAAATAACAATAATTTTAATAAATTTATTCTTTAATCATATTAATTAAATCTTTTTAATAATTTTTTTTTTTTTGAGTTACTATAATACTATATCTATTTTTCGATTAATAAAGCGGTTTACGAAATACTCTGTATAAAAAAATTACGAAATTATATTTTCATTGTGATAAATTACCAAAAATTCTCTGTACGATACAGTTTCTTTAAGTCCTGCACAATAATTTTGAACACTTCCCGAATTGCCTGGTTGGATATCATTATACGATGCATTTACAGTATTCATTATAACTGGTTCTATAAAATAATTTAAAGTTATATATTTATGAATAATTTTTAGCATAGTCGTAACTAAAAATGTTCAGAGTAGCTTCTTAACTGTTTATTTTTAAAAATATGAACATTTTCACTTTCTTTTGAAAATATTAATTTTTTGTAATCTAAACAATGGGAAAATAATGCAAGAACTAATGTTATTTTTAAACAAATTAATTTTTCATTTATTAACAAAGAAACAATTTAGTTCTGGTTGAACAGTATTCAGGCATTCGTACTTAAATGACTATATTTTCAGAGCTATCAAAAGAAGTTAGAATATATGTTATGTTTTCAGAATCGGTATTACTAAGGAGTACCATATTTTTTTTAGGTAGAATAATAGTAATTTTTAAAGGTTATAAATATATTATATTATTATAGTTATAAATATATATAATATACATTCTTCTAAATATATAAGAATGTAAAAAATTTCAAAAAGAAGATTCTATAGTATTATAGAATTTGAATTATCAGATTAATGGCAGTGGTTTTGTCTTAATATTATTAATGAATAAATTACTAACATGTAATCATCTCTTGCAAACTATAGAAACATATTTTCTTAACTATCCCTTGCTTAAGAATTTGAAGTGATAAATAATCATTGTAATTTTATTAAAATCAGAATAAAACAAAAACTTTAATTAATATTAACTTCCCATACTTCAACATCAAATTAGAAATTATAGATGAGATAATATATATTTTTTTGAAAATGATTTTACATGGGTTTATATGTTGAATACAATCACTTTGTGTTAATATTCAATTTATTTATTTTTTTAGTTCATTTTTATAGAAAAAGAGTATAAATAGCTAATGAAGTTTTTGTATTAAATTAATAAATTGATATTTTTTGTAATCTTTATTCATAAACTAATATACAAGTGCTTTCTCAATATTGTGCTACGTTGGTAAATTTCGCATGGCTACAAACATAACTGCGTTATTAAACAAATGTACAGTATCTGCACTGCAGATGGTGAGATACATGTTGTATTAATTTATGCACGCTTCTATACATTGGATTGTTTTCTGATTTTGCATTAAAGCAATGATAATTTTGTTATTAAAAATATATTTTCTTATAATTAATTGATAAAATGTATGTTGAAAGAAAAATATTATTTAAAACATTAGTGATAATTTGCTTGTACTGGAACAATTATTATTTGTTAACCAAATAGATAACTGTATTAATTAAATATTATTTGTATGATAAATCTAGTCTGTAGATCAGCTAGTTGTTCATCCCACTAGATTGCAGTTTTGCTTTATATCAGCTTACGCACGCTAAAGAAACAGTTGAGGGGGGTAGTAAGGTGGATAACAGCACATCCAGATATCACAGGTCCCCAGAAAGATTTAGAACACGTAGTGGCAAACAATATAGTTTGAAAACCCATCCAAATGATCTAAAAAAATGCTAAAACATTTTATTAATTATAACTAGTTGACAACCAATTTTGTAATATTACTTTTTAAGTTAATTTAATTTTAAGTTTTTGAAAAGCAAGGTACTTAACGTAGAAGAATAACTATCTATTCGTTATGGTAAAAATACCCTACAAATTACAGCCAGAATAATATATATAATATTAACTTAAATTAGGTAACTATGTGTCGGCATTGTATGTACTTGAATATGGAGAAATAATAAAGATTTAATCCTACTCAATATTTATAGTTATCCATATTCCATAGTTCCACTCGTTATCTGTAAAACACAAAAACCATAGGACGCACTTTAACCGTAAAATATATACGGAAAACACAAATATAACCATGTTGTTGACGCCTCAATTAACTTCACTGCACTAATTAACAAAATACGATATAGTGTCGTCAAAGTACAACACACCTGTTAATTTAATCTCTAATATATAATTAGAGTAAATTGATTCATTAATGTAAATGTTTAATGAAAAATTGTTTTTAAAGTTTATAAAAAAGTTAGTTACCTTCTACTGAAGAATCATGCGACTCAACAATGGCTATTGCTAAATTAAAAATTCAAAATTAATTGATACTTAATTAACTATAATCAGAAAAAATATTGTATCTTTTAACTTCGAAGCGAAGCTGAGAAGGTATTGGTTATACTAAGATGTGTTTTTTTTTTGTATCTGTTACCACTTTTTCTCACCTCTCACCGAACCGATTTCTTTTAATGCTACGTCAAAAGATCACAAATCGTATCAAGTCGAAGACATTACCCTCAAAAATTGAAAAAATTTTCCTCGTTCCCCGTAAATGAGGGAAACCTCCAAAAAAAATTACAAATTTAAAAATCGCTAATTTTCGAAATTTTTTTTAAAATAACCAAATCAATATAATTATTTTTTTTATAGATGCATGATGTTTTTACCTATCACTTGGTATATATTTTTTATAAATCTGACTTTTTACCTGCCCACAGGGGGGGATTTAAAATGACAACTTTTCCAACTTGACTTTTGAAAGTGTTCCGGAAAGTCTGACACTTTTATATACATCTTAAATTAAAGTTAATGTAATATACTTTAATTTGAAAAAAAAAATTTGACCTCTGGACTTGTCTTCATGGTGAAAACGGCTACCGAATGCTATTATTGTATGAAAATTCTCGATATTATTTTTTACATTTTTAACATTATAATGCTATAACTTATTGAAAAGTGTATGGATCAACATAATTTTTTTTGAGAAGTAATATTTTTTAATATTCCCATTTTCATTTGACATACTTTATCTTAATCAGGATATTAATAAGGAACTAGCAGATCATGTAGCTTTTGGAATAATCCACCAATTTTTTTTTAAATTAAACACTATCTAAAGATTTGCATTGAAGCGTTTTTTTTTATAGTGATTTTAATCACTGTCAGATATCATTATACTTAATACATCTATGCTACGCCACCACTGTGCCGCGACCCCCCTGTGCTGGGTTTTTTTTATTTTAAAATAGATGTTTAGTAAAAGGTCTGTAACATAAAAAAAGTTGCGTTTTTTCTAAATAGCTGATTAATTTGATCAATTATAAATAAATGTTTAATTAATAAAGGTTAATTATTATATTTTTAAATAATTACTTAAAATAGTTATATTTTCAAATAGAAATTTAGTTATATTTTAATGAAGGTTTCAATGATCCTTCATTTTTATATGCTAAAACAAAAAATAAAAATTCATTATCACAAATGCTAAAATATTAAATAACATAATTAGAGAGAATTTTAATGTTAAAATAAAGTTTTACAGGCGGATTTGAGGGCTTCAAAATTTTACTTTCCAAATTAAACAAAAAAAAAATGGTAGCACAGTGGGGTCGAGGCAGTGTGGACGAGGCATAGATGGGACAAGTATAGATGATATCTGACAGTGATTAAAATCACTATCATAAGAAACGCTTCGATGCAAATCTGTAGATAGTGTTTCCTTTAGAGAAATTGGTGAAATATTTTAAAAGCAACATGAACTCTTATTTCTTTAATTATATCCTGATTAGTAGTTCTTTGATTTTAAAATATAATATATGAATAAATACTAATTATAGTTTTTAAATTTAGTATGAAATTGTGAGGCCAGCTATGATGTATGGTTAATAGTGTTGGGCGGTTGATAAGAAAGTAGAGCAGAGAATAAGTGTAGCAGAGATGAGAATGCTTAGTTGGATGAGTGGAGTGAATAGAGAGGATAGGATAAGGAACGAGCATATAAGAGGAAGTTGGGTTAATCAATCGTGGATAAGATGACAGAAAATAGACTTAGATTGTTTGTTTAGTCATGGTATGAGGAAAGAAGAATCGAAAGCTGTAAGAACAGTTATAGAAATGAATGTTGAAGGAAGATGAGATAGAGGAAGACCAAAAAAGAGATGGAGGGATGCTATTGAATGCGATTTGAGGACAGCTGATGTGAGCGTAGAAGATGTGGGAGATCNCGAGGACAGCTGATATGAGCGTAGANCGATTTGAGGACAGCTGATGTGAGCGTAGAAGATGTGGGAGATCGTGTCAAGTGGAAGCTTAGGATAAGGGTGGCCGACCACAAGTAGTAGGGATTAAGGCAAAGAAAAAGAAAAAGATTACCAGAAATTCCGGTGGCAATTGACATAATATGATTGTTGTTTCGGAATGTACAATTTAGCGTTTAGTTGGGTTTAAATAATATAGCGTCAGTCAAATTACCTACTCTATCGCTTGTATATTAATATACACTACACTTTAATGATACAATAAATAAATAAACTCACACATGCACACATATGCATTTATAACATTGTGTCTAATGTAAGTATAACATGATAAAAAGTAACCGTAAAATGAAAAAAATGGAATATAAATTATAGTACTCATATTAAATGTAATGTAACTCGAAAAATATTTGTTTAAATGAAAAAATATAAGATTAAATTTTTATTTTTAATTGTCTTTTAAACAACTTTTGTACGAAACTTTTTTTTGTAAGTTAAATATTTTTTGAGAAAATTAAAAAAGCTCATATTTTTAAACTTTTGCGAAGCTGTAAAAAAAAAAGCTCAATTCCGAATAATAAGGACTATTAGTATGTCATTATACATATTTTAATTCAACTTTAAAAAAAAAAAAGCATTAAATTTAATGATTTACTTTGACTAAAAAAAAAAAAGTTATTATTTTGCATCCCTCTTGTCATTATACATATTTTAATTCAACTTTTAATAAAACAAAATTTGGTTGGGAATTTTTTAAGAAATTTTTCCTTTGTTGACTGGCCTAGATGTCAATTTTAAACTTGTAATTGAGCTAAAAGTTATGGTAATATNGAATTTTAAACTTGTAATTGAGTTAAAAGTTATGGTAATATATTCAATTTTTTTTATTATAAACTTTCACAAAACTTTATCAAAAATGTTTCATCAGCTTTAAAGAACCAAAAAAATAGGTTAAAAATGAAATTTTAAACTGATTGTTTTTAACATATTAAAAAAAACCCAGCACAGGGGGGTCGCGGCACAGTTGTGACGTGGTATAGTTGGATCAAGTATAATGATATCTGACAGTGATTAAAATCACTATCAAAAATAAACGCTTCGATGCAAATCTTTAGATAGTGTTTAATTTAAAAAAAATTGATGTTTTATTCCAAAAGCTACTTGATCTGCTGGTTCCTTATTAATATGTCAATTAAGATAAAGTATGTAGAATGAAAAAGGGAAAATATTACTTCTCAAAAAAAATAATGTTGATCCATACACTTTTCAATAAGTTATAGCATTATAAAGTTAAATATTATATAAATAATAAAATCGAGAATTTTCACACGAAAATAGCATTCGGTAGCCATTTTCGCCGTGAAGACAAGTCCAGAGGTCAATTTTTTTTTTTTTCAAATTAAAGTATATTACATTAGCTTTAATTTAAGATATATATAAAAGTGTAAGACCATCCAGAATATTTTCAAAAGTTATGTTGAAAAAGTACATTTTTTGTGAAAAAGTTGTCATTTTAAATCCCCCTCTGTGGGCAGGTTAAGTGTCAGATTTACAAAAAAAATATACCAAATGATAAGTAAAGACATCAACCATCTATATAAAAAAAAATTATATTGATATGTTCATTTTTGAAAAAGTTAGAGCATTATTAAGTTAAAAATATAAAAAAAAATTATTTTACAAAAATCGTAATTTTTTATTAACTTTGATGTCAACTTTCACCACGAAGACAAGTCCAGAGGTCAAATTTTTTTTTTTCAAATTAAAGTATATTACATAAGCTTTAATTTAAGATATATATAAAAGTGTCAGACCTTCCGGAACACTTTCAAAAGTTAAGTAGAAAAAGTTCTACTTTCTATATGCATTTTTTATATTTGAAGCCCCCCCATATATTGGGAAATAGTCTGATTTAAAAAACAAGTATATCCAATGAAAGATGTATATAAATACTACTTCTCATGAAAAAATTGTATTGATCCATACATTTTTTAAAAAGTTATAGCACTTTAAAGTAAAAAATGTAAATTATAAAATCGAAAATTTTCACACAAAAATAGCATTCGGTAGCCGTTTTCACCATGAAGACAAGTCCAGAGGTCAAATTTTTTTTTTTCAAATTAAAGTATATTACATTAGCTTTAATTTAAGATATATATAAAAGTGTCAGACCTTCCGGAACACTTTCAAAAGTTAAGTTGAAAAAGTTCTACTTTCTATATGCATTTTTTATATTTGAAGCCCCCCCATATATAGGGAAATAGTCTGATTTAAAAAAAAAGTATATCCAATGAAAGATGTATATAAATACTACTTCTCATGAAAAAATTGTATTGATCCATACATTTTTTAAAAAGTTATAGCACTTTAAAGTAAAAAATGTAAATTATAAAATCGAAAATTTTCACACGAAAATATCATTCGGTAGTCGTTTTCACCATGAAGACAAGTCCAGAGGTCAATTTTTTTTTTTTCAAATTAAAGTATATTACATTAGCTTTAATTTAAGATATATATAAAAGTGTCAGACCTTCCGGAACATTTTCAAAAGTTAAGTTGAAAAAGTTAATTTTTTGTGAAAAAGTTGTCATTTTAAATCCCCCCCTGTGGGCAGATTAAGTGTCAGATTTACAAAAAAAATATACCAAANAGTCAAATTTACAAAAAAAATATACCAAGTAGGTAAAGACATCAAGCATCTACAAAAAAAAAAAATTATATTGATATGTTCATTTTTGATAAAGTTACGGTAGTTTTTAGTAAAAAAAATTGAAAAAATTTCGAAAATTAGCGATTTTTAAATTTGTAATTTTTTTGGAGGTTTCCCCCATTTACGGGGAACGAGGGAAATTTTTTCAATTTTGAAGGGTAATGTCTTCGACTAGATACAATTTGTGATCTTTTGACGTATCGTTGAAAGAAATCCGTTCGGTGAGAGCTGAGAAAAAGTGGTAACAGACACAAAAAAAAAAANCGTTCGGTGAGAGCTGAGAAAAAGTGGTAACAGATACAAAAAAAAAAACACATCTTAGTATAACCAATACCTTCTCAGCTTCGCATCGAAACTAAAATCAAAATTAGTAATAATTTGAAAATAATTTTTTTTCATTTAATTATTATTTATATTAGTAATAATATCAAAAATTAGAAGTGATAGAAAAAGTCTAATTGCAGATTTGAAAACAACACGAAAAGTTGATTTAGAAAAGTATATTTTTGCTTCTGATGAAAGTAACTTGTAGTCCGGTGTATTTATTCATAAGTAACAAAATTTTTTTATTAAAAATATTGCATTAATCCCTTTAAATATTTATACACATTAAAAGTAAAGGAATATAAAATTACTTTATTATTTATAGAATTTCTCTGTATAAATTGCAGTATTAAATTATTGAATATAAATGTCATACTAAATTTAATTACTAAATTAAACACTATTTACAGATTTGCATCAAAGGGTTTTTTTTTATTGTTATTCTAATCACTGTCAAATATTATCTGTGTCCCAACTATGCCACGACCCCAATAAAAATGATAGTAATCATTTCTATGTAACTATTCAGAACTAAATTAGGTTATTAAATATTGAATAATTGTTTATATTGATAATCTGCACAAAATACATTCTACTCGTTACGCATTTTTAATATTTTAATTGTTAAGATTCACTTGAAAAACTTACGTTTAAAAAGACATGTTGGACAATAACGAAGACTAAATGTATAACTGTAGTCGTCATATGTTTCCCAAATCGGAGTTTTACAAACATTACAAAAGATCAAATTTATATCTCTATTACTCTTCGAACATGTAACATCCTCTGGAATAGCAAAAAAAATAATAAATAATAATCATTGAAAAATAACCAGAGATTTTTATTCCTTGAGTTAAACTTAGTGTTAATACCAGGGTGAGAAATAATATCTCGCTTACCTAATAATTAATAAGAAAGGATCTTTGTATTTAAATTTATACAGAAAGAAGGCAGTGGTTGTTGGCTCACAAAAAATTAAGTTTATACAAATAACAATAAACAATTCAGTACAAAATGACAAATTTTATAATCAAAACATCCGTGTGGTATAAAAATAATGAATATAATGTGCTAATAATTTACATAAATGTAACAGTAACTGCCAACTCACTAATCAGATTTTTGTGTACAATTATTATACAGGGTGTTCAGTAAGTCAGGAAACGGGTTTCTATTGTTCTCGTTGTTTGTAACAATGAGAACAATAGATACCCGTTTCCTGACTTACTGAACACCCTGTATACCAATGTTCATAGATAAATATTTTAATCTAATGATTCGCAATTGAAAGTATCTAACATTATCCGTGCAATTTAAATAATTGAAAACGTCATCCGTGTGACTTACAAAAAAAAACTGTCTGGTAAACAAAGAGCAACATGTCACTAATTCTTATTACTAAACTTATTACTATACAAAAATACATATACAGAGTGATTTTTTTATCATAACCCACTCAATTACTTGCAGAATAATAATAATTTAAACATTTTTATTTTTATTATCTTTAGTTACACATTATTCTTGAATTTTTAACTATGTAATACTTTTTAAGTTCATCCCTTATGCCTTGGAGGGGGGTCAACTTTGTTTTTTTAAATGGNATACCTTATAAAGGTGTCAACTTTGTTTTTTTAAATGGAAACACATATTTTTAATTTAATAAAATATTTGAGTTTTTAATTAGTAATAAATGGCATTTGAATTTTTAATATAACTTTATAAGATTATTAGATATAAACATTTAAAGTTTTAAAATTTTGAGTTAATATACATGTATAATACCCATGGGATTGTAAATACAGGTAGCTAATTGGATTTTTATGACATTGCTATTACAGTCACGGATTGTTTATTATCAATTATGATTATCATTACATATACTTTCTGTATTGACAGTTAGTGTATTTATAAACTCATAACAATGTGCCTTACTACAACTGATAATAACAATGCTGTGTACCTGCTAATATCGATGTCATAAAAAACCAATTAGCTACCTGTATTTGTAATCCCTTGTGTATTATACCTATATATTAACTCAAAAATTTGAAACTTTAAATGATTATATCTAATAAACGAATTAAGTTATATTAAAAATTCAAATGCCATTTACTATTAAATTAAAAACTCAAACATTTTATTAAATTAAAAATATGTGTTACCATTTAAAAAAACAAAGTTGTGCAATGCCGGCTATATTTTCTTTAGTATCGGCAATTTGCGATTTTGTAACCTTTTTGTTTGTTTAATAAATACGATTGACCATACGTATTTTTGGGCATGCCTTAGCGGAAGGAAAGGAGAATATAAAATTGTGGAAATTGAGCCTTACAATATACTATAGATAGAAAGAAAAACAACATATATATATATAATCACAATCTGATATTTCCGTTATGATAGAAAAATAATAACAAACAACAAGAACCAATGATAAAATGAAAATTAGCACAAATTACTAATAACATAAATAACATATATATCCCCTTTCTTATAACTAATACATATATTATGTGGACTGTATCCGTTAAAATAAACAATAAAAAAAATTCTTAGTAATTACCCACTGCCGTCTGAAGGTGATGAACACTGGAACACATCAGATGCAGGGAAGGCAACAAAAAACACCGTAACATATAACAAGCCGTTGAGCAGCTCAAATTGAACAATGTGGCGACAAGGCAATACTCGACCCAAAAGAAACCTGGCGACGATATTACCGAAACGGCCGACTAATTGAGCGCGAATGAATTCTTCAAAACCACTGCCACACACACAGGGACCGGTCTAAACAGCAGTGCCGCCGTACCGTTACGAAGGTGGTGGTTTTTTAGTGGGAAAAAACATTGAAGGTCGCGGCGTATATTATATAAAAAACGCGGAATCTCCGGAATACTAGACGGCTACAGAACAAAAAAAGATAAAAACAAATTGCGTTGTGTCAGCGGCATACCCATTGTGACAAACACGAACGTGTATGATGTGATCGACTGACCTGCTCTCCCTCACTTATCGTGTTTTCATATTAAATTAAATGTATTGCATCACCTCACATTAATGTGTATCTAACAAAAGTTGACACCCTTCCAAGGCATAAGGGATGAACTTAAAAAGTATTAAATAGTAAAAAATTCAAGAATAATGTGTAACTAAAGATAATGAAAAAAAAAAANTGTATTGCATCACCTCACATTAATGTGTATCTAACAAAAGTTGACACCCTTCCAAGGCATAAGGGATGAACTTAAAAAGTATTAAATAGTTAAAAATTCAAGAATAATGTGTAACTAAAGATAATGAAAAAAAAAAATGTTTAAATTATTATTATTCTGCAAGTAATTGAGTGGGTTATGATAAAAAAATCACTCTATATAGTCATCACCTCACATTAATGTGTATCTAACATTACTCCCCCCGTTGAATGACCTAGGCGTCCTTCAATATTAAGGGAAGGGGT